AGCAGAATAGATCTTATTCACATCTGACTCCCTGCTGGCAGAAGTTTAAAGTTTCCAGAAGCTGTACAACTTGCACTGTGGAAAACTAAGAATTAAGACATACAAATACCTTCATCTGTAGCCTTTTGGGTTTGGGTCGGTTTTTTTTTTTGTCTGAAGAGAGCTCAATTTAAGGGTGGGAGAAAGAACAAAAAATAAACGATTCCTTACGTCCACAGAAGAACAGTAGGAAATCATAGTTCCCAAACCATGTGTCCTAGTACCTTAGCACCACAAGAGTGGGGAAAGCAGGCTGCACCAACAACATGTTGCACGCTATTGTTCATGGTCACCAATCTCAAGACCCAGGCAAGAGCCCTGGAGCTGGAGAAGGCAGGCATGAATGGATGGCACGCATCATGCAATAGCAACAGATCCACTGGCTAACAGGGCTGCTGCCTAGGCCTTTGAATCAGGTTGTGCAGTTTGGTGTGATCTGCTGCATGTCATCAATTTTATTCCCGTCAAAAATGCGTGCGCCAAGGATCAAGATTCTGGGCAACACAATCATACAATGGTTGAAGTCAATGGAGACCTTTGGAGGTCATCTGGTCCAACACTTCTCCAGCCTAAGTCCTTCTGGATGGCAGCACAACCCTCTGTCATACAAGCCAGTCCGTCCCGTTATCAGCAAACTTGCTGAGGGTACACTCTGCCCCATCATCCAGATCATTAATGAAGATGTTGAACAGGATTGAACCCAGTATTGGCCCCTGGGGAAAATCAGTAGTTACCAGCTTCCTAGACTTCACAACACTGATCAGTACCATCTAGGCCCACCCATTCACCAGCTTTCAATCCACCTCATTCATCCATCCCATGTTTCATCAACTTAACACTGATCTAAAACTTGTAAGAATAAGACTCTCTCTAAACTTTGTTCCACATACTGTTCCCTACCTTCACCTTTCAACTCTGTAAGCTTTATTCAGAAAATAGTCCTACTTAATTAAGGTTTCAAAAAACTTAAGTTTGTTTTATTTTGGCTTGGGTTTTTTCCTTTCTCTTTTACCTCAAACTGCTGGACTAACTCTGGCCACTAAAAATCATTGATATGAGAAAGTCACAAGAACCAGTACTTGTCTTCAGATATTAACATTTAAAAATACGTATTTCATGGTGAACAATGAGCAGACTGATCACAACAGATGTTTCATTTTTGTACATTGAGGCTTCTTGATTTTTATTTCCCCTGAGCCATCTCAAGCAAAGTAAGTATACTGTACTTGTCAAGAGTGATAAAGTAAAATTAAAGTCATCAGAGTATAAGTTTTACAGTGACTCTTCTTAATTATCAGCAATCTCAGGTGAAGGAAATGGGAAGATAAAAAGATGTAAAATATTCAAAGATGAGGGAACCAAAAGCTAACATATCCTGCTAAGCCTCCAAAGATCTGTCAGTATTTGAAAGCATGTTTCTCATCTTACCTCCATTGAAAACCACCTCTCCAAGACAGTCTCTAGGTACTTTAGATGCACAGCGTTTGTGACAGTTGAATCTGCAATCTAAAATAGAAGATAAATAAGCCCACGATACTAGAATCTTTCTCCTACTCAGACACTAACATTCTATCATTCGCTACTTCCATCACAAACTTCAGTTCAGATTCATACATTTGCATGTAACTGAAGACAGCACCAATGAGGTCACCTTCAGAAGGAAGTTAACAATCTTGTCTTGATGTCACACATTGATTTGCCCTACCACTATTTATTATGTCAGCACTTCCCCTTCCAGTACAAAACAGTTTTCTTCTTCTCTAGCTTTCTCTGTAGATATTTTTTCCATTATGATGTAATTTTTCCCCATCCTCTCATCTGTTCCACATCCTTTTTTCCATTGCTATACAATTTAAATGTCTTATCTCTATCATTTTTCTCCACCTGCTGCCTAAGACTTGTAGTCGTTAGAGCCTCTAGGATCACCCACCCATACCACAAAGCAAATATGCTCTGCAGTAAATCTCAAAATCCAGTCATTCAGACCACAGATTTGGCTGAACACTTAAGCTCCATTTCTGCCTGCTGACACAGGGCAGACAGAATAACATTATGTCCAGGTCTGGCCTGACGTGGAGATGGAATCTAACCTGGATGTGTGCCATTTCTGCATCCGAGATATCGGATACAGCCTACTCAACAAAGTCCAGCACAAAACATTAGTGCTTTTAACAGGCATCTCCTTTATTAGCAGCATCGCTGTGATTTTCAACTCTGTATCAACATCATGAATTTGAAAACTCCCTACTGCCCCCACAACTGTTTTCAAACTAATATTTTAGCCCCTTTCTGCTATCCAAAGAAAGCTCATTGCGCTTTCCTTTTAAGCCCACATAAGAGAAAAATCATTATCTTCCCATTTTTAGCAGCAGAGAAGCCAAGCCCTAGAGCAAAATACAATCCTGTTCAGCTTTTGAGTGTCTACGAGGAAGCACCCTAGGAGACCAATGAACTGTCCTTTCTATAGCAGTGTTTTCAGTCTGTATTACAGAACATGGTTACTTCACTAGATTGAAGGGGGCTGGAAAAAACACAGACGTTTCAAATCCTACCAGGGAACTAGGAAGACTAAGAACAAGTCAATCCTAATAAACTACGTCCAGAAACATTCTCAGGCACCGCAATGCAACTCTCTAGTCTAGTAATCAGTTAGGAACATCCCTTAGCATGCTTCTGGCCCACAGCATTAGCACAATCCCAAACAGTTCCCAAGCCTAGTTCATAAACCAGAGCATCCCATGAAATTGTTCCCAACATGCAGTCTGCATACAGCCACCCAGGCTGGGATGCTAAGAAAACTCATTCATGAGCACAGGTCATTTTGTCCCAGTTGACCTTAGCATCCAGGAACATTCCTGGGCACATTTAATTTATTGCCACAAATACAGCCTTAGCATCCCAAAGATCATCGTCAGAGTCCAAGCAGAAGCCTGGATTAATTCAAGAAATCCAGGGCTCTTATGGATACTCAGGAACATGGGACTGCTGAAAGACCCCAAGCTTTGGCAATGTGCACAAGGAAGTCGGTGGGAAACCTTATGAATCATAGAATCACAGAACAGTTTGGCTTGGAAGGGACCTCAAAGACCATCTAGTTCCATTCTCCCTGCCATGGCAGGGACACTTCCCACTAGACCAGGTTGCTCAAAGCTCCATCCAACCTGGCCTTGAACAATTCCAGGGATGGAGCATCCACAACTTCCTCAAGCAACCTGTCCCAGTGTCTCACCACCTTCAGGGTGAAGAACTTCTTCCTTCTATCTAGTCTAAACCTTTCCTCTCCCATCTTCCAACCATTAACCCTCGTCCTGTCAATGCAGGCGCTTGCAAAACATCCCTCCTCAGCCTTCTTGTAGGCCCCCTTCAGGTACTGGGAGGCCGCTATAAGGTCTCCCTAGAGCCTTCTCTTTTCCAGGCTGAACAACCCCAACTCTCTCAGCCTGTCCTCGTAGGGAAGGTGTTCCAACCCTCTGACCATCTTGGCAGCCCTCCTCTGGACTCGTTCCACCAGCTCCATGTAGGAGAAAGCAGTATGAAAATATTTTGACTGTTTGATATAAATTCCTGATCATTAAAAATGCATATAGGTCCATACCGCATAAAAAGAGGCTTATTAATGTACTTATTTCTGTCCTGTGCATATACATAACATTTCTCTCTGCTCATTTTCCATATGTAAATGCTATTTTTATCCAGTGTCATTCACCTCCCTGAAACTGATGTGGTGGCCTTGCTTGATCAGCAGGATATACAGTCACAACAACTCTATACGGACAGTAGCACCTATATGTTAAAACTGCAAAGCATCTTTTTCAGGTTTCATTATTTATATATCACATGTTTCCAAGAGACACATTGACTGAAAAAAAATTTAAAAAACGTTCAGGATGCAGACTTCAGATGGACTCAAAGACTACAAATTAATAAAAGCAGAAATGAAAGATAAAACTACTTACTTACATGAGACAGCACTATTTTTAGTCAAAAGGAAGTTAACATGACTATAAGCTTACAATTTTTGCTCTGCTCTACGAAAGCAAACTGAAAATTTATTAAGCCACCTCTTTCAAAATTTGGTACTCAAGTTTGACAAACTAACATGAGAGAAATGGAAAGTCCTTCCATATTTATGTTTATGATTCATTACTACAGTTTTCTTTCCTGCAACAAAGCTGACAGATCTGCACTATCCAGCAATAAAGAGCCAGAAGAAGATCACAACGTCATAGTTATGCCCTGGGAACTGCACGGAAGAGTCTGAGAATTGAAGTCATGCATCTTAACATATGCTAAACAAAAACCATGCAGCTGACAAAGCCTACACGAGTCCACGAAAGGCACCCACCTGTGTAAAATTTTTCTAAAAGATAATAACCAGCATTCTGTACTAGAAAAATGTAATAAAACCTTACAAATTCTTTAGTGATGAGTCTAGAAGACAGACACTGAACAAAGGGAAGTATTTCTCATTTTTATTAATTTAGAATTATCCTTCTAGAACTAAGGTGTTCCCAATCTACCTGTAATTAAACCTTATTTTTGAGAAAAATGTACAATGCACGGTCTACTAAAATGAAAATGAAGGCTGTTGTAATACTCTCAAAACCATGCAATTTTTCAAAAATCATACTGCCCTATTTCACAGTATACAACCTGGCAATCAAAACATAAGTTGAAATCAGTTTTAAATACAAGACCTTTACAAAAATTTATTACTGCATTATTAAATGTTTACCTTTACACTGCATTCCTTGTCGAAAAAGGCCCTTGAGCAGCCGTTTGCAATACTGACATATGGTGGGACGAGTGTAAGAGTGAACAGCAAAGGTGTGCGGAACCTTCACTCTGCAAAGCACCATCTTTTCCATCCAGATGGGACGGCCACTCCAGGAGGGAATCCTCTTACTAGGTTCTGGGCAGCAGCGCTGGAATAAAGAAGGTATAGATTATTTGCATCAAAAGAGTTCCACTGCCATGACTTTTCGAAGTCAGGTGAAGTCCCTGGCAACTGGAAAAAGTGAAACACTGCACCCATTTTTAAAAAAGAGTAAAAAGAAGGCCCTGGGAACTACTGACCTGTCAGTCTCACCTCTGTGCCTGGGAAGATCATGGAACAGATCCTCCTAGAAGCTATGCTATGACACATGGAGGACAGGGAGGCAAATCAAGAGAACCAGCACGGCTTCACCAAGGGCAAGTCCTGCCTGACCAACATAGTGGCCTTCTATGATGGAATGACTACATCAGCAGACAAAGGAAGAGCTACAGATGTCATCTATCCGCAAGGCCTTTGACATGGTCCCTGACAACACCCTTCTCTCTAATTTGGAGAGAGATGGATTTGATGGGTGGTCTGTTTAGTGAGTGAGGAACTGGTTGGACGTCCGGGTGGAGATTGGTGACAAGTGGCATCCTTCAGGGGTCCATAGTGGGACCAGTACTGTTTAAAACGTTCATCAGTGACATAGACAGCAGTATCAAGTGCACCCTCAGCAAGTTTGCACATGACACCAAGCTGAGTGGTGCAGCTGACATGCCTGAGGAACAGCGTGCCACCCAGAGGGACCTGGACAAGCTTGAGAAGCAAATCCATGTGAACCTCATGAGGTTCAACAAGGCGCTGCAACTAGGTTGGAGCAACCCCCAGTATCATCAGTACAGGCTCGGGGACAAAGGAACGGAGAGCAGCCCTGCAGAGGAGGACTTGGGGTTACTGGTGGACAAAGAGCTGGACATGGTGTTTCCCAGGGCTCAGTATTGAGGCCAGTTCTGTTTAACATCTTTACCAATGATCTGAATGATGGAATGGAGTGCGCCCTCAAGGAGTTTGCAAACAACACCAAATTGGGTGGAAGTGTTGACACGCTTGAGGGTAGACAAGCTCTTCAGAAGGATCTGGACAGGCTGGATCAATGGGCCGAGGCCAGTAGTATGAGGTTCAACAAGGCCAAGTGTCCTAACAACCCCGTGAAATGCTATAGGCTGGGAGAATGAACAAGACTACGGTAGGGTTAGAAACACAACATTTGGGGCACGAGCTCTCAGTGCCTCAGGAAACAGGGAGAGGGCCAACAGTATCCTGGCCTGTATCAGAAACAGTGTGGCCAGCAGGAGTAGGGATGAGATTGTGCCCCTGTACTCAGCACTGGTGAGGCCACACAAATACCATGTTCAGTTTTGGGCCCCTCACTACAAGACAGACATTGAGGTGCTGGAGCAGGTCCAGAGAAGGGCAACAGAGGTGGTGAAGGGTCTGGAGAACAGGTCTTATTGGGACTAGCTAGGAACTGGGGCCATTTAGCCTGAAGAAAAGGAGGCTTAGGGGAGACCTTACAACTGCCTGAAAGGAGGGTGTAACAAGGTGGGCATCGGTCTCTTCTCCCAAGTAACAAGCAGCCTCAAGTTGCACCAGGTGAGGTTTAGATTGGACATTAGGAAAAATTTCTTCATTAAAAGGGTTGTCATGCATTGGAACAGGCTGCCCAGGGAAGTGGTTGAGTCACCATCCCTGGAGGTGCTTAAAAGACGTGTAGATGTGGTGCTTAGGGACACAGTTTAGTGGTGGACTTGGCAGTGCTAGGTTAATGGTTAGACTCAATGATCTTAAAGGTCTTTTCCAATCTAAATGACTCTATGATTCTGTGAGCCAGCAATGTGTGCTTGCAGGCCAGAAAGCCAAGCATACCCTGGGCTGCATCAAAAGAAGCGTGACCAACAGGTCGAGGGAGGTGATTCTCCCCCTCTACTCCACTCTCATGAGACCCCACCTGGAGCACTGCATCCAGCTCTGGAACCCTCAGTAGAGGAAAGACACAGACCTGTTGGAGTGGGTCCAGAGGAGGGCCACAAAAATGATCAGTATGATGGAACACATCTCCTATGAAGAAAGGCTGAGAGAGTTGGGATTGTTCAACTGGAGAAGAGAAGGCTCTGGAAGACCTTACTGCAGCCTTTCAGTATTTAAAGGTGGTTTACAAGAAAGATGGGGACACACTTTTTAGCAGGCCCTGTTGCAACAGGACAAGGAGGAATGATCTCAAACTAAAAGAGCGTAGATTTAGAGTGGGTATGAGGAAGACGTTTTTTACAGTGAGGGTGGTGAAACACTAGAATAGATTGCCCAGAGAGGTGGCAGAAACCTCATCCCTGGAAACATTCAAGGTCAGGTTGGACGGGGCTCTGAGCAACCTGATCCAGCTAAAGATGTCCCTATTCACTGCAGAGGGGTTGGACTAGATGGCTTTTAAAGGTCCCTTACAAACCAAACTATTCTATGGTTCTACTTAAAGGGAAAGAAAAAAAAAAAAAAAAAAAAAAAAAAAAAAAAGAGTCAGTGGGGCTGGGAGGGAGGTGTTGGCTCAGAAAATTACTGGATAAGAAAGCAATCTGGCCAAGGAGCTTCAACAGGACATTCTGGTATCATAAAACAAAACCAAGACAACACCAGATGGAAAAGCCTCGCAGAGAGCAGGAAAGTATGTACGAATCTTTACTTCCACAGAAGCTAAAATGCTAAAAATTCACTCATGACTTTTTTTTTTTTTTTTTTAAAAAAAGCAACCTGGCAAGGTTCACAGACAGCATATACAGACACATAAAGGGGATAAAATGGAAAATGTTGGAGGTCAGCAATCACTACCTCAAGCTATCAGTTTTAAAAAGCAAAGAATGGCATGCCTGAACATGTTACTAAGGTGGGCAAAAATATTCAGAAAATTTAAAAATAATTTTGGAAATTAAACACCCCAAAAAAACTTTGAAATTAAGTTTAACCAAAAACTTGGGCAATTAAAACAGAAAAGTCATGCTGAACATTCAGCAGGGTAAACTTAGTTATGTACATCTACAGAAAAATGTAAAGGAACATGGCCACAAATATGATAATATATTACTGATCACCTAAGCTAAGTAGTTGAAATCTGATAGCAAAGTGAGGTGTCAAAGAGGTACTACATACGCATGTAGAAATCCAAGTTAAATGCTGTGATAGGAGAAATGGTTACAATTCTACGTTCACTGAATAAATCTTACCAATAAACATCAGAATAAATATTTTTCATGACTCAAGATTAGGCTTCATAGCCTCTAGCTAAAATAATTATGTTCCTGAACTAGACAATCTATACAATTAATATTTTAAACTATGGTAAGAATTGTTATACTGTAAAGTAATATAATTAGATAAGCAAGAAAGACCAAGTGTCAAAAGCACTGCTTTTACCCCACCATGAAAGCAGCAATGAAACAAATGGATCTAATCACTGCCTGTCCTGTGTTACGATCCCAATATAGTTGCAGTATAACCGATAACCTCTCAGCAATCATCATAATCATTATAATAAAGAACTATTACGGATGACAGGTTTCACTATCAGCCCTTCATGCCCTACACCCTTCTTGATAGGGCTTCGGGTTTTTTTTAGATTAACTCTGTGGAAAGCTTAACAGCATATCAGGAACACTCTCTCCTCTCCCAGCATAAAAGCTTACAATTTGTACTGCTTTAGCCAAGCAACTGTTCCATACTGATACCGTAATTACAGAGGAAATCTGTATTACAAAGAAGGCAAGGTATTTTATCATTCCTGAAATCAAAGTTCTCAGAGTTCATATAACCATGAGTGACAGGCTAATAGCAAAATTATACATAAAAGTTATAATTTACTTTCCGTTTCATTTCTGACAGTAATAACAGTAACTGTCACAGTCTAAGACTCACCAGATTTGAAAATGAACTAAAACCAATCATAATGGTTAAGCTCACTCCCTCATACTCATTATGAGCCACTTACAACACTATCTAGCTCCCTACAGATTAAAGGATTTAAAACCAGAAATTGTTCCCCTTTTCACATTACATACTTCTTCAGAGGCAGAGGATGTGTATTCAGCTTGTGCTGGTCTTGGAACTGAAAGCCCTGCTCCTGGTAAAGACACATTAGACAGACGCCTCTTTCTCACTCCACTGCAGTTATTTGGAATCTTGAAGGCACATCGCTTATGGTAGTTTAATCCACAACCTGAAACAGAAGGGGTTTTAGAAAAAATCCTCCCAACATTCAAAGTAATAAAACCAGTACTAGTATTTTGATAAAGCAGTTAAAAAGATGATCCAGGAAAATGTAAAGACAGAAATAAGATTGTTCTGCTAGATTCTCTTTTTTCAATGTCCTTGATGCAAGTCACAGTTCCTTTTGCACTACTTGCTAAAATACTGGTCTCCAGTAAGGCCAGCTCTAGAAACAAGGCCTAAGACTCAAAAGCAGCTGATCACCTTCCTCACTTCTCCCCCCACCAGGAGGCTTTCATCACTCCTTCCTTTGGAGCACAAGAGCCAAGGAGAAGCCAGCGAGCAGGCAGCATCAGTACCTAAGAGCAGCCTGCAGAGTGCTCCACAGCCAGCTGGACGAAGGCCATAAGGAAAGGGATTCCCCTGTGCTCCTTGTGCAAAGAACACCTGCTTGTAAGCTAGCTTTTTTTTCCCCGGCCTCCAAAGTGGGAAAAAAGAATACCTATTAAGTAATTTGCCCAAGGTCACACATAGTTTGCATTAATGCCAGGATCAGACCTTGGGTTTCCTGATACACAACTCCTTTCAACTACATTTTATCATGTGCTAATATACCGAACAAGATACAATTTCTTCCTCCTCATTTCATATAGATATACATACACAAAAGTACACTAAAAATCACAGACTTACCTTCACATTTTAATCCTTGTCGTACCAAACCCCAAAGCATCTCTCCGCAGTAGTCACAAAAAGTAGGAGCCTTGTAGGAATGCACATAAAGTGCATGAGGACGAATCTGGAAATCTTCAACTGTAGCCAAAGCTTTTAAAAAATTGCAGTAAGTTACGGTTCTTGCCACAGGATCAACATGTATTTACGGAAAGAATATGTTGTTTTAAAACAGCAGATTCAAAGAACACCGAGCTGTTTAGACATCAGCATTTTACTCTATACCACTTAAATACTCATTTAGAAGATTACACAGTTTTCAGCAAGCTTTTCTATTGAGAAAAAAATCCGTTGAATTCTGAAGGCCACCACTAATCAACACTGAGTCATGATGCTGAAGACCTCACTAAGTTCAGAAGGCAAATACAACAAGCTTTGCTAATATCAACTTAACAGTAAACATTTGAAAGAGCAACTTAATTTTCAAGCTGTTTTCACAATCTACAAGCTTTTCAAACAAAGGACAGATCTGCAGGTTAGATTTTTATCTTCTAAAAGACTTTTTCAGTAAAAGCTTATTATACTGAACTCTGTGTGCATCAAAACAGAACTGTGGATAGAGTTTCCATGGATCACTGGAAACTTCACTAGTAAAGTTCTTTTTCTTAAACTAGATATATTTAAATTAATTTTTGTCCTGTTTCTTTGGAATGTAAAAAAAAAAAAAAGTGTTATTTTACACCAACATTACCTTGCCCTGATGGCTACTATTCTTTGATCAAATACGTACTAACATTTCAAATTCAAATTCTCATGTCTGTTTTAAAACCCTACCGAAAGAGATTTATATTTCTTCAAAATGCCTTGGTTTCTGGTTATAAGGTCTGTCAGAGATTGTCAAGAAGAGGCACACACAACAATTTTTCCAAATATGCCATTCACCAGAGGCAATAAAAAGCTCAAACTAAGATGATCAACTATTGAATACCCTAGACATGCCTAGAACAGTAGGTCTTGAAATGCAGCCAAGGAACTCAGCTTTATGACTCTGGAAATTATACCTTATTGATCCAATTTACAAAATAAATCCCATGACAGCCAAGAGATCTATCTAGAATGCAACCCCAGTTTGGCACTCAGTCCTCAAAGACTGAAAGAACTGCTTGATTCTAATCCAGATTTTATTTGTAATTCAACTACAGCTGGCTTTTGCTTGGATTCTACAGGGTATTGAGAAACACATACAATTTAAATCAGTTAGAGGGGCAGGGTGGGGGGTGGAGATTTTGTCCTTGTTATTCCAGAGTACTACAGGTTAATAACCACCATTCTAAGGACTTTATCTGTTTTCAAGCACTACAATAACCCTTAAAGTCTGTCCTTATAGGTATGATTCAGCAATTATTTTTATATGAGGCCTTTTAGCAATATAAACCATCAACGGCGAAAGCTACAGAAAAAAAGACAGACCTAAGCGGAAAAAAAAAAGCAATGACAGTGCTGGAAGAGCAAATTCTGAATCTTACCTGCATTTCAGCTTCAACAAGCATAACAATAAATTTTTATTATTATAATTATAAAGTCATATTCATATAACTCAGATTTATTTACAATAATAAACCTTAAGAAGATTAAAACATGACAAAGAAACAATAACAAAACTGAATACAAAAGCACCAGTACACTACTTGGATTTTCTTGGAAACCTCTACCCCCAAACAGTGACCCAGTATGAGACTTAAGAGATCAAGGCAAGCATGATAATAACGTTCCATAAAGTCCTTTTTTCTTTTAATCTACTGAATAAGCACTGTTCCATTTTTGCAACAATACCTACCAGAGAGCACAACCTCCACAAGATCTCCCTCATGTATCTCTTCTGCAGATGTAATTCGTTGCAAAATATTATCTGAGTTCAGGTCATGACGGAAGAGGAGAATTTTGTCATACATGCCAAAGAAACCACACTCTGGAAACTGCAACAGAAAGCAAACTCTAAATTACACATGCTCTTTGATAATCCTGTCCATATACGTTTTAAATAACAGCTACAGAACTTGAGTGTTTTAAGTGTTCCATGGAAACAAAATTGATCTGCTTATTTTTGAGGAACCTAAGTATTTTCTGAAATGAAATGTATGATAAAAAGGAAAAAAAAAAAAAGAAAACCCACACCAAAACAAAACAAATCAATACCAACTTCCTCCCTGTTCCCCCACGACCAACAAATCTGAAAAGAAAAAATGTCAGGGTTTTTGTTTCTTTGGGGTTTTAATCTTTGACCTGCATAATCAGTCTGGCACCTGAAAGCCAAGGCAGACCCTTCTAACTCTGATACCACCACCTGTAACCCTTTCTGGGTCAGGCAGGCATTCAGCTTGAGACACAGTAGCACTTGCCACACTTTTCTTTAGGGGCAAGCCAAGAAAGGGTCCATGTCATTGTTCTACAACAGTTTAGATCTGCAGATGCAAGAAAAGGAAAACTCAATTCCCCACAAAGACAGGAGATAATATAGCAAATCCATAAAGGGAATAGATACACTACATAGCATGCCATTTTTCCAAGACAATGAAAATAGCTTTCTTATTCTGTATTTTCCCCACTCTTCAAAATATTGTCAAGTGTGAGTGAAACTTCTTAAAATTAAAGCTTAAAAGTAAACATTTCACAGAAAAAAAAGCAGGAATAGACCCTGGAGAGGAATGAGTACCAATCAACCACCTCCTTTGGCCTTTTTGTTTAAACCAGAATTCAGACTCATGGTGGGAACAGATGGAAGCACTCCACAGAAGAAAACAGGAAGAATGTGGGAAAAAAATATGGAAAACCACATAACAAACTTTCACTTAATTAGGTAACAGACTACAGTTCAGTAATTTAGATCTTGCACAGTCAATAAATAACAGGGTCTAAACTGCATGAAGCTTGTGGTACATTAATTATCCTTAACTAAAGTAGTCAAAGACTTGTTTCTACCAAATCAAAGACATAATGAAGGTATCTGTCACACTGATTGTTTTCACATCCCCTTCCCATTCAAGGAGAAAATAATTTCCTCTTTCCAGTAGCAATTTTATCCAAAATGTTAAGTTAGCCTTCTATGTTTTGATGTGCACACCCTACATGTTTACACTACACACAATACTGAAGAATCCCCATGGTCTGGAAAGCATACTAGCTACTGGGACAGTCACAAATAGAGGCAGAATTTGTGCTATTTAACCTCTGCAAAAGATGGACCTGACAAAATTACACAGACACTAGTAGATATTTAATCCGCAGCACCGAGAAACCAATTTACTAGGCTGATGCCAAAGCAGGAGGTTGCTTCCTTTGCCTCCCAACTCACTTGTAGGTTCCCTACATATATTTGATACTCTCTGGTACTCCGTGCAGTAGCTATGACGGTACAGATATGACACTAGCATTATATTCCCCTAAACTAGATGCTTTTCAAACCTTTATAAAATAAAATGCTATTGTTTAAAATCCCTTAGGTCATCTGGAATTACCCATAAGAACTCCTCTCTTATCATACTAAGTTGCAGTATACTCACCCACTGATTCATCTTGATAAAGAGCAAATATCCATAAATACTCTGAAAATTACGTTTTTCCGATCTCCCAAAGATTATTTGCATTAGGAAGGCAAACAAATATCTTGAGAATTAGCTGTGCTGCCCAAATACGTGTCTCCATACCTCTGCAAGTATGCGCAGGACTTGACTTTACATTCAGAACATGCATAGATACTGCACACTAGTAATTCTTCTGAGGGAACTGACAGCTCTTTATACCTGAAACAGTGCATAAACCTACTTTAAGCTCTAACTCAAAATTCTGCTGTGCCTCCATTAACAAGAAAACAAGTTATTATTTACATTTTTTTTAGGAAGTGTTGTGAGGTTTTATTCCTTGATACTCCATACACTGTTTAGCCAGATATCACATCTTAACGCTAGTATCAAGAAGAGGAAGCTACCATATCAATGCTACAATCAACTGTATCCTCAAGATAACTTCTATTTATAATGTATCAATTTCATCATGCTGCTGAAAAACTTAATTCCAACAAAAGGGAGATAAAATCAACATGAATATGATATGTATCTGCCCGCAAATAAACATGACACTTTTTATTAATGCTGATATTAATTTCAGCTGCTAGGAGGGACGACTGATGATCCAGAGAATCAGTGTGAACTATTGCCTCTTTCTATTAAGTTTACAAAACCACCTACAAACCACAGATTTTAAGGAAGCCCTAAGATATTTCACAGATTTAAGTCTCCCTCTTTTGATAAAGATATGTCTTTGTTTCTCTTTTTTTCATTCTCTGAGCCCATAAACCTATCACACAGCTGCTAGAACACCCCTACACACAATTTCCCACCCCAGTAACCACAGGTCACACAACCGCATACCAAGAAGCACTTGTTTTAAATGCTACGACCACATGTATTCTGCATATGCACCATTTACCCATTCTCATACACAAATCTTGGATTTGTTAAAGTGTTTTAAACATACCACATTAATTTTGGTAACTAAAAAGCATTAGCTGACAATAAACAAAAGTTACAGATGAATACTCAAATCCTTGTTGTGACAGCAAGTGTAATCATTAAAGATACGAGACATTACATTCCTTAGAAAGCAGCATCAACATTAATTCCAAAGTTTGTAAGTAACAGTATAATGCCTATAACTAAGATTTGGTTTTCAAATAAATTCCAGACAATGGCTAAATTAATTTCTATGGAATAAAAGCAAAATCATCTATTATAGATTGTTAGAACTGTCTGCATCAACACTCTCATTTGGTTCTACGTTAAATTAAACTGACCTTTTAAGCTGTGTATCATGAATGCTTATGATACTGTAGTGACATGTTTTACTGCCATCTTCTCTCAAAACAAGTATACATACAAGCATGAAATGACTACAAAAGGTTGTCCGGTTTTGTAACTAACTCCTAAAAGACAATTCCTCTATTTAGAAGCTTCAGCTTGATCAGTAGCTTCTAGACTAAGATGCAGAATCACAAGCCCAGGCCTAACAAGACTAACAATAATTTATGTTAGTATTTATTTCAAGAAGTCTATCATTAAAACACAGACTCTGTATACAATTTCTATAGATATATGTGACAGATCAGGACACATTTTTCTATGCATTGTGCATGTCTAATCTCCATTTCTGAAACAATAATTCCGAAAATTAAAAGCATTAGAATAGAGATAACCTGTTCACTGGTACAACAGAGTTGCAGATGCTACAAGGTTTTCTTGAATCCACAACAGGGACAGGCATAGTTGAGGAAACTTGCAATAGCTCCCTTACCTCTCCTGCTTGTTAGGTTAGCCACTTGTCTGCATGTCTGCCCAGGAGGCGCAGAGGAACAATGCAGGTGGGGCTGCCCATACAACACCCTGCCCAGCTCCTCCCAGGAACCATCAGCCCATTAGAGTCCCATCTCCACATGCCAGAGGAGCACAGAGGCACAAGGGCAGGTGCAGAACCCAAATTAAGGCCTCCAAGGAAAGGACACACTGTCCAGGACCCTCCCAGAGCTGTCATTGGAGAGCCTCAGCCCCAGTTTCCAGCCATAAAACCCATCAAGATAACTCAAAACTAGAGCACCTTTTGGACTAAGAGAGGCTGCTGCCCAATGGTATGGGATACATTGTAAGATGCCAGGGAATTAAGATTGTACAAGACTTATTACGCGACATGAATGGAATGAATCAAAGGCAAGGAAAGAGGTGATTCAGGGAGGAATAAATGTGGGGAAAAAAATACAGGGATAAGAAGATAAAGGCTGGTCACCTGTAAACAGGCGCTGGTCAGAACAATTGTCTGGTCATGCCCTGTGCCTGATCAGCACCCTCTGTCCTACCTTTTCATTAAATTCCATTTCTAACTATTTTCCTGGATGATGGGTTCTCATTCTGAGCGCATGTGTGTGTACGGGGGTCCAAGTGCCAGCAAGTGGAGCCGGACCACAGGTCAGAAGATCCACATGTCTGTGGGTGCCAGCAACCAGAGAGACCAGAGTGAGTGAAAGCAAGAGCTTGAATATCCAGGTGCCAGCAACTGGAAAGAGCAAGATCCAGCAGCTGCTACTGGGCAGAGAGTGCCTGAGCCCAGCTACTGGAGACATTCAATTTGTTGTTATTGTTGATTTTTTGGGGGGCTGGGTTTTTTGTGTGTGTGCATGTGTGTTCCCACTAACAGGCCCTCATCCTGAACCACCAGAGAAGTATGAGGGCATTGGTGCTGTCTGTGTTCACATGAGTGCTCCCTGTGTCTGCCTGCGTTGATCTGTGTGTACAATACCCATATGTGTTGTACACTTGTATCCAAGTGCCTGTGCCACTGGGAATACATGGTCAGCCTTGCTACTGGTTGGACCAGGGACACGGAGCTGCAGCAGCCTCGCCTCTGCCAGGAGGCTGTCGGATTCGATTGTCCTTAATGAAACTTTTCAAGTTTGATGAAGAAGTCCTGCCCTCTCCTTGCACGTGCCCTGCCCAAGATTCCCCTGTCATAAAAGAACAGACCCTGACACAAAGATGCCTCCCTGACCGCTCCTTTCCACACGCTTCAGCTCAGATTTCCCTCCACTGTCCTGACTACAGTCCTGTGCGCCCAAGCAATGGAAGCACTGGCTGGCTGCCCTCCACATGGCCGGTCCTGATGAGCTGCAGGTGGCCCACCAGAGCCTGTGTCTAAGGCACTTGGCCAGGCTTCGATGGGGGGAGCTGTGCAAGCGGCTTGGCTTCTTGCAGATATGCAGCGCCCTGCTCTCTCTTCCACTCCCCAGTACATTTGGGAATACAGCATTCCTTTGTATCACCTTAGCCAGAAGGCTATGTGCGGACTGCTGGCCAAGAATAACCTCATCGATTAAGAAGGTTTTTATTTCAAGTGGTATCTTTTAACAGAATTTTTATGCAAAGCTTAAACTATG